GCTTTTAACGATATTTAAAATAATTATCACAGCTTGTAACGATATAAATGTCATCGAAAAGAATGAATAACTAGATTATTGTTAGCATCAATAATGAGTAAGCATTAAATTGTTTCTTTAATTAAATATGCCATTTTTAGGTTGTTCTGATGCTAGGGGTGCGTATTTCGTACGAATGAATTCGTCATTCGTTCATGAAAGTAAAATCGATTGTAAAATTCTCATAGTTTATAACGCATAACTTATAAGGACATAAAATTAAACGTCGTTTAATTTAAATAAGCCAATGTCGAATTTGTAAACACACACATATCTATAAGCAATAAAACTGGTTTTTGATTTAATCTTTGTGTTGTAGAAAACCGCTACTCAATTACGGAAGGAATAATTATATGAGTATTTTAATGTCTCATAGCACACTCTTTTAAAAAAATATTTCCATTAAAAAAATTCTAACATTCTTACTATCAGTTCGGGATGAAATAAATGTTATGGAAGGAAAATTGATACTTGTTAAGTCCAACAATAAGCGAACAGAAGAGACATGTTTCCAAAAAAAGGAGTAAAATATTTTCGCATTACTGATAAAAATTCGTGGATAATACATCGATGTTCAAAGCATTGATAAATGAAAAGAATGCGCCATTTTCTTTTTCTGCGTTCTTTTTTACTTCAGGTGAATATTCCAGCTGTAACGAGAACATTGATAGGAGCTCGACACGGTTCAATAAATTGTTCATATTTCTCCTAAGAAAATATCTTCGAAATGACGGAAATATTCGTACATAAATCATCTTCCGAAAAATTTCTATTTCTATTTCTGTTGAATAAAATACTTTCCGTGACATCTCTTGAACTTTTTTTCCATATCAAAGTGAAAAATATGTTACGAAATAGATGAATATTTTTCTGTTTTTTTTTGTTATCAATGTTGGCATTAGCATAAGTTTGTAGATTAATGCCAGTCTTCAAAATGAATAGTTTCTTGGCAATGATAAATCAATATTTTACAATTTAAACTTTTCATAGAAAAGAAAAGAAAAAAAAAGAATATGAACTATGAAACAATTCGAAAAAAGGTCATCAGTGTCTTATAATATATTCCAAAAGATAAATAAATACAAAAAATATCGTTTGAGTTATCCAATTTATAAATTGAAAAATAAGACCTTTCCTTTTCGTAATGTATTCAACAATCAAAGATAAGCATTTGTTCTTGAAATATCTGATTCTCCGAAGAGCTTATCATGCTTTTATGTTTCAAATAAATAAATAGGTTTTTCCCCTGCTTCTGCATTATTTGGAAAGAAATATATCTTTTTATATGTTAAATATATTTTTTTTATCTTAAATTTTTGATGTTATTATCTCTAAAATTTTCGTTGATTGTTATAGGATAGTTGGAAAGCTTCGATAAAAATTGTTTTGATGTGGATTTTTTTGTTTTGAGAAAATACTTATTTATGAATAAAATGTCCTATAAACGTTGAAAAATATTGATTTCAAGGCGAATATTACGTCTTCAAATGTATTGTTAAATTTTTAATAGCAAGTTTTACACGTTAAGTTATTTAAGGAATTGTTAATTTTTTAACTTTACGTTATTAAGTGAATTGCTAAGTTATTTGATTATTTGACAAAAATGATTTACTTGTTTTACTTTTTCTTACGGATGCTTTATTAATAAAATAATTGCACTGAGACATTATATAAAATCTCCTTCAACGGCTCTTAAATGGAAGAGGCATCTACAAAAATGCTTAATCGTCAAAATGGCATCGTATAGATTCATAAGTATCGTACAGATCGATGGAATCGCATAGAATCATATGTCTCGTATAGATCGATGGTTCATATAGAATAATATGTATCATTTAGATCAATGGTATCGTATAAATCGATAGTATCGCATAGAATCATATCTATCGTATAGAGCGATGGTATCGCATAGAACCATATGTATCATATAGAATCATATGTATTGTATAGATATATGGTATCGTATAATACTTTTTCTGCCATTGCATTTATAATCAAGCAACTGACAGTAATATATTTTATTATATCTGGATTCTCATTGTATATAAAGTGTAGTTAATTTAATCATGTTCTATTTCATGTACTTGTATCGCATTAAAGTCATTAATTTAGAAAATTAATGACTTTATTAGTAATCATTGTATTGTAGGAGTCCGCTACTGTTTTATTACGCAAAATCAAGAATGAAGTAAGCAATAATAAGCAAACAGAAGAGATATACTTTAAAAAAAAAAAAGGAATGAAACTTTTTCGCATTACTGATAAAAATTCGCGGATAAAGCATCGATATTCAAAGCATTGATAAATGAAAAAAACCCGCTATTTTCCTTTACCGCGTTCTTTTTTACTTCAGGTGAATATTCCAGCTGTAACGAGAACATCGGTAGGAGTGCGACACGGTCGAATAAATTGTTCATATTTCTCCTAAGAAAATCATATCTTCGAAATGACGGAAATATTCCTACATCAATCATCTTCCGAAAAATTTCTATTTCTATTTCCGTTGAGTAAAATACTTTCCGTAGCATCTCTTGAACTTTTTTTCCATAGCAAAGAGAAAAATATGTTACGAAATAAAGGAATATATATATATTTTTTTTTCGTTATCGATGTTGGCATTAGCATAAGTTTGTAGATTAATTCCAGTCTTCAAAACGAATGTTTTCTTGGCAATGATAAATCAATATTTCGCAATTTAACTTATCATAGAAAAGAAAAATTGAAGATGAGCTATGAAACAATTCGAAAAAAGTCGTCAGTGTCTTATAATATATTCCAAAAGATAAATAAATAAATAAATATCGTTTGAGTTATCCAATTTATAAATTGGAAAATAAGACCTTTCCATTTCGTAATGTATTCAACAATCGAAGACAAGCATTGGTTCTTGAAATATCTGATTCTCCGAAAGATCTTATCATGCTTTCATGTTTCAAATAAATAAATAGCTTTTTTCTCTTGCTTTTGCATTATTTAGAAAGAAATATATCTTCTTATATGTTAAATATTTTTCTGATCTTAAATTTTTGATGTTATTATTTCTATAATTTTGGTTGATTGTTATAGAATAGTTCGGAAGCTTCGATACAAATTGTTTTGATGTGGATATCGACTTTCTGTTAAAAATATTTGCGTTCTTTTGCGAAAAATGTATTTATGAATAAAATTTCCTTAAATGTTGAAAAATATTGTTTTCTAGGTGAATAGTACGTCTTCAAATGTATTGTTAACAACAAGTTTTAACGTTAAATTATTAAATTCATTCTTAAGTTTTTAACAGCAAGTTCTATACGTTAAGTTATCAAATGAATTGTTAAGTTTTTGACACAAAGATTTTAATGTTAAGTTACTAAATGAATTGTTAAGTTTATAACAATTAATTGCAAATTTTTTTTAACCTGTTCTAACTTGTCTCAAATTGTATGGTGAATTTTTTATGTCTCAAAATTTATTATATTAATCATATTTTATAGAGATGTTTTCCTTAAACTCGAAATGTTATTAGAGTAAATTCTTGTGGGAATGTAGTATTAAAGGAGATTTTTCTACAGTTCGTAACACAGAGTAAAACTGTATTGTAGGAAATGATTTTATAGAAGAGCTGCTTAATTTTTTAACTTTTGGATATTTCTATATTGATTGATAATCATTAATTAACAGTCAATAAGATTGTCATTAAAATCCATAATTAGATAAAAAAAGATATTTAAAAACTTCTTTTAATATAATTAAGTTTTTGTTACAATGCTACCTTTAAGAAAAAAAGCTTGACGCTGTATAGCTTTGAACGATATTTAAAATAATAAGAATAGCTTATAGAGATATAAAAAAGTCATCGAAAAGAGTGATTAACAAGATAACTGGTAGCATTAATAATGAGTAAACATTAAATTGTATCTTTAATTAAATATGCATTTTTTAGCTGTTTTGATGCTAGGGGTGCTTATTTCGTACAAATAAATTCGCAATACTTTCATGAAAGTAAAATAGATTGTAAAAATCGCATAGCTTATAACTTATAACGATATAAAATTAAACGTTGTTTAATTTAAATACACCATTATCGAATTTGTAAACACACACATCTCTATAAATAATAAAACCAGTTTTTTATTCGAAATCATTGTGTTGTAGGAGTCCGCTATTATTTTATTACTCAATTACGGTCTGAATAATTATATGTGTATTTTAATGTATCAAATCAAATTATTTAAAAAAAAAAATGAAACGTAAGAATTTCATTAAAAAATTTACGTTTTTATAATGAGTTCAGGATAAAATAAATGTAAGGGAAGGAGCATCGATATGTGGTAAGTCCAACAATAAGCGAACAGAAGAGATATATTTTCAGAAAAAAAGGAGTAAAATTTCTTCGCATAGATGACAAAAATTCGTGGATAATATATCGATGTTAAAAGCATTGATAAATGAAAAGAATCTGCCATTTTCTTTTTCCGCTTTCTTTTTTACTTCAGGTGAATATTCCAGCTGTAACGAGAACATTGGTAGGAGCTCGACACGGTTCAATAAATTGTTCATATTTCTCCTAAGAAAATGTTATCTTCGAAATGACGGAAATATTCCTACGTAAATCATCTTCCGAAAAATTTCTATTTCTATTTCCTTTGAATAAAATACTTTTCCGTAACATCTCTTGAACTTTTTTTCCATATCAAAGTGAAAAATATGTTACGAAATAGAGGAATATTTTTCTGGTTTTTTTTTCATTATCGATGTTGGCATTAGCATAAGTTTGTAGATTAATTCCAGTCTTGAAAACGAATATTTTCTTGGCACAGATAAACCAATATTTTGCAATTTAGTTTTTCATAGAAAAGAAAAAAAGGAATATGAGCTATGAAACAATTCCGAAAAAAGTTCGTCAGTGTCTTATAATATATTCCAAAAGATAAATAAATAAAAAAATATCGTTTAAGTTATCCAATTTATAAATTGGTGCCAACGGCCGTACCATGCTGAATATACCGGTTCTCGTTAGATCACCGAAGTCAAGCATCATTGGGCGCGGTCAGTACTTGGGTGGGTGACCACCTGGGAACGCCGCGTGCCGTTGGCAAATTTGGGACCTGAATGGCCGAGTGTCTAGCGCTCTGGCGCTCGGTGCCACAGGTTTCGGGTTCGAATCCCGGCGGTGCCATGGATGTCTGTAGTGGTTCGGAATCCACTTTAAACCGTAGGTCCCGGTCTCCTATGACTGTAAGAGCGTCACGGAGCAAAAGTCAGGCTTCTACCTACGGGTGCTCCATCACAACAGAAGCTGCTTCCTTCCCCTTCAATCATGAGTACGTATGGGCTCGTGGGCTTGGCCAGCCAAGTGGGATAAGAACAACAACAACATAAATTGGAAAATAAGACCTTTCCTTTTCGAGATGTATTCAACAATCAAAAGATAAGCATTAGTTCTTGAAATATCTGATTCTCCAAAGAGCTTGTCATGTTTTTATGCTACTAATAAATAAATAGCTTTTTTCTGTTGTTTTTGCATTATTTAGAAAGAAATATATCTTTTTATATGTTAAATATTTTTTTTCATCTTAACTTTTTGATGTTATTATTTCTACAATTTTGGTTGATTGTTACAGAATAGTTGTAAAGCTTCGATAAAAATTGTTTTGATGTGAATATCGACGTTCCGTTAGAAACATTTGTTTTCTTTTCAGAAAATACTTATTCATGAATAAAATTTCCTATAAACTTTGAAAAATATTGTTTTCAAGGTTAAATTACGTCTTCAAATGTATTGTTAAATTTTTAACAGCAAGTTTTATATGTTAAGTTATTAAAGGAATTGTTATGTTTTAAACAAGTTTTTAACGTTAAGTTATTAAAGAAATTGTTAAGTATGAAATAAGTTTTTAACGATAAGTTATTAAATTAATTGTTAAGTGATTTTATTACTTGAAAAAAAAATGAATTCCTTGTTTACTTTTTCTTACGGATGCTTTATTAATAAAATAATTGCACTGAGACATTATATAAAATCTCCTTTAATCTCTCTCAAATTGAAGAAGCATCTACAAAAATGCTTAATGGTCAAAATGGTATCGTATAGATTCATATGTATCGTATAGGTCGATGTTTCGTATAGAATCGTATGTATCGTTAGATCGATGGTATCGTATAGAATCATATGTATTGTATCGATCGACGGTATAGTACAGATCGTTAGTATCGCATAGAATCATATGTTTCGTACATAATCATATGTATCGTTCAGATCGATGATTCATATAGAATCATATGTATCGTATAAATCGATGGTTCATATAGAATCGTATGTATCGTTAAATCGATGGTATCGTATAGAATCATATGTATTGTATAGATCGACGGTATAGTACAGATCGTTAGTATCGCATAGAATCATATGTTTCGTACATAATCATATGTATCGTTCAGATCGATGATTCATATAGAATCATATGTATCGTATAAATCGATGGTTCATATAGAATCGTATGTATCGTTAAATCGATGGTATCGTATAGAATCATATGTATTGTATAGATCGACGGTATAGTACAGATCGTTAGTATCGCATAGAATCATATGTTTCGTACATAATCATATGTATCGTTCAGATCGATGATTCATATAGAATCATATATATCGTATAGATGTATGGTTCATATAGAATCGTATGTATCGTTAAATCGATGGTATCGTATAGAATCATATGTATTGTATAGATCGACGGTATAGTACAGATCGTTAGTATCGCATAGAATCATATGTTTCGTACATAATCATATGTATCGTTCAGATCGATGATTCATATAGAATCATATATATCGTATAGAGCGATGGTATCGTATAAAACTGTTTCTGCCATTGCTTTTATAATCAAGCAACGCACGGTTTTTGTTGTTAAAAATGATATACAATTAATTATATCTGTATTATCATTATATATAAAATGTAGTCAATTTAATCATGTTCTATTTCATGTACTTGTATCGCATTAAAGTCATTCATTTAGAAAACGAATGACTTTATTAGTAATCATTGCATTGCAGGAGTCTGCTACTGTTTTATGACGCAAAATCAAGAACGAAGTAAGCCAACAATAAGCAAACAGAAGAGACATATTTTCAGAAAAAAGAGTACAACTTTTCCCCATTACTGATAAAAATTCGTGGATAATACATCGATGTTCAAAGCATTGATAAATGAAAAGAATCCGCCATTTTCCTTTTCCGCGTTCTTTTTTACTTCAAGTGAATATTCCAGCTATAACGAGAACATTGGTAGGAGTAGGAGACGGTCGAATAAATTGTTCATATTTCTCCTAAGAAAACGATATCTTCGAAATGACGGAAATATACGTACATAAATCCTCTTCGGAAAAAATTTCTATTTCCGTTGAATAAAATACTTTCCGTGGCATCTCTTGTACTTTTTTTCCATATCAAAGTGAAAAATATGTTACGAAATAGAGGAATATTTTTCTTTCCTTTTTTTTATTATCGATGTCCGCATTAGCATAAGTTTGTAGATTAATTTCAGTCTTCAAAGCGAATATTTTGTTGGTACGGATAAATCTTTTTTTTCCAATTTAATTTTTCATAGGAATGAAAAAAAAAAACTAAGATGAGCTATGAAACAATTCGAAAAAAGTCGTCAGTGTCTTATAATATATTCCAAAAGATAAATAAATATCGTTTGAGTTATCCAATTTATAAATTGGAAAATTAGACCTTTCATTTTCCTAATGTATTCAACAATCAAAGATGCCAACGGCCGTACCATGCTGAATATACCGGTTCTCGTTAGATCACCGAAGTTAAGCATCATTGGGCGCGGTCAGTACTTGGGTGGGTGACCACCTGGGAACACTGCGTGCCGTTGGCAAATTTGGGACCTGAATGGCCGAGTGTCTAGCGCTCTGGCGCTCGGTGCCACAGGTTTCGGGTTCGAATCCCGGCGGTGCCATGGATGTTTGTAGTGGTTCGGAATCCACTTTAAGCCGTAGGTCCCGGTCTTCTATGACTGTAAGAGCGTCACGGAGCAAAAGTCAGGCTTCTACCTACGGGTGCTCTATCACAACAGAAGCTGCTTCCTTCCCCTTCAATCATGAGTCCATATGGGCTTGTGGGCTTGGCCAGCCAAGTGGGATAAGAAACAACAAACAACACAATCAAAGATAAAGCATTAGTTCTTGAAATATCTGATTTTCCGAAGAGCTTATCATGCTTTTATATTTCAAATAAATAAATAGGTTTTTTCCCCTGCTTTTGCATTATTTATAAATAAATATATCTTTTTATATGTTAAATATCTTTTTGATCTTAAATTTTTTATGTTATTTCGATAATTTCGGTCGATTGTTATAGAATATTTGGAAAGCTTCGATAAAAATTGTTTTTATGTGGATATCGCCTTACAGTTTTGTTTTCTATTGAGGAAATATTTATTTATGAATAAAATTTCCTATGAACTTCAGAACGCATTGTTTTCTAGATTAATATTACGTCAAATTAGAAATGAATTGTTAAGTTTTTAACAATTATGCTTCCCTTTTGTAACTCATCTCTTTTTGTATATATTTTTTTTATGTCTCAAAATTCATGATAGGAATCATATGTTATAGAGGGGTCAGGTGGTCTAGTGACTAGCGTTCTGGCACTCAGTGCTATCGGTTTCGGTCTCGAGTCCTGACCATGCCATGGAAGCTTGCAGTGGCTCGGAATTCTCCTTAAACCGTAGGTACCGGACTAATATAACTGTAGAGCATTGGATGTAGGATAACAACCCTACCTTGTAAAAAGAAAACACCTGATGTTTCGGAATCTGACAGTTGGCAGACAGTCTTGGCCCACCATGGAGCTGTTGCGCTATTGAAGAAGAAGTTATTTCCCCAAAATTCGCAATCTTGTTGAAATGCCGTATTTATTAAGAAGAATTTTCTATAGTTCCTAAATTTGGTTTGATTTGTCGCTCTACAGTCATTTTGTGCATACTTTGGGATAATTGGACCGGACCTACAGTTTAACGTGGATTCCGAACCACTCACGAACATCCATGCCAACGCCAGTATTCGAACTTGAACTTTTCCACATTGGCACGATTCAAGAATTTGGTGAAAAATCACTCCATAAACTCTCCATATCATGTTTATTTCATTATGTTATTCAATTTATTCGAATTCGTGAAACACTCTCTAAACTCTCCATATCATATGTTTATTTGATGTATGATATTCCATTTTTTGAAAAACTCTCCATAAACTCATGCTTGTTTGATACATGTTATCCCATTTATCTGAATTATTGAAAAACTCACCATAAATTCTCCATATCATATGTTTATTTCTTATATGTTATTCCATTTATTAGAATTCGTGAGAAATTCTCCATAAACTTTCTATATAATATGTTTATTTGATATATGTTATTCGATTTATTGGATTTCATGAAAAACTCTCCATGTCATATGTTTATTTGATATTCCACTTATTCGAATTTGTGAAGCACTCTCGATAAGCTCTCCATATCTTATATTTATTTGATATATTTTATTCCATTAATTAGAATTAGTGAACAACTTCCCATAAACTCTTCATATCGTATGTTTATTTGATATATGTAATTCCATGCATTCCAATTACTTTATAATTTTTAAATCTACCATTAAAACTTGGACATATTCACGGTCAAATTATGTAGCGAAACATTTTCTGCTAAACGTAAATTTATTAACTTTGTTGCATCTTCTGTTACGGAATATGTCTTATAATATAAATTATTTCTTAGTGAAATTTTGTAAAGAATGTTATTTTAAAGTCAACTTTAATGTAAAATGGATTAATAAAACATTATTTCACATTGGCACGATTCAAGAATAATAAATATATAAACTTTCTATGAACTCACATGAGAATCATAAATATATAAGCTTTGCGTAAACTCTTCATATCATATCTTTATTTTATACGTATTATTTGATTTATTCAAATTATTTTATAATTCTTAAATCTGCCATTGAAACTTGCCACAGATTCACTGACAAATTATGTATATGCTACTAAGCATAGATGTTGCTTTAAATGTGTC